ATCAGACCTGCAACAGACGAAAATGTTTCATCAATTCGTAACTGACAGCCTCGAGGTGATCTCTTATAAATGTAATGAAGCAACACACATTAAGGCTGGTTTAAACAGTCTACACCGGCGGTGCAGACTGTTTCTAACGACGGTCATAGTTAATATAGAAACTAACTCTTCAACGATGGCAGCGATTGTACAGATCGTTTTCCCGTTAACGTTACCTCAGTTCTATCGCAAAGACCGTAAAGTTCAATGCGATCGATCATTGCATTAAAAATATACCAGTTATACTAAATATGGAAATATGTACCTGTTAAACTTTCCATTCCAACTTTACGACTTAAGCTCCACACCCTAATTTTAAAATTGATGAAATATAAAGATTCGTGCAAATGATTTTTAGGGTACGTGAGAAATCCAAGTCCCCCTCAAAGCACCTTCTGTTTATTAACAACTACTTATTAACCGAGATTAAGGTCTTTACGAGAAAATCCAAACCGAGACCATGCTGTATTGACCGAGCGATAACAACAATACGACAAGGCCGAGCTTTTATCATGAGATTCTGCCATAAAGACCGAACGTTCGAGGTTAATGAGTTGTTTATTATTTGGTTTTTTGCTCTGTCAATATAGGGCTGTAATCGACCTGTGCGCATTACGGGAGAGTAATACCCTAGAGCTTGCCAATCAGAGTGTGCGTTATATCGGCTAAAAACACAAGCCATATAATATAAACGTTTTCACTGCTGCATAGTATTATTGAGTAAAGTCTTTGGGTTTTGGTCCCGCTTAAGCTGCATGCACAGGTGTAGGTTTAAGTTTTCATCATTAAATGTCAGTATTTAGACATACCCTTCATGCCACCGGTAGGAATCTGATTCCTTATCCTGCCGACAGTATGGCATAGGCCGGCAGCTGCTGCTAACTGATGAATCTGGGAGGACTGCTGTTTATAAAATGAAATGAAATGAAACGAAATGTGATCCAATGCAATGCAATTAAAAGAAAGAAGACTAATTTTTGCTCCTTCCATCCGCCGTCCATACGTCACCCAATAAGCCAGTCAGTCAGTCAATCAGACAGTCAGTCAGTCAGTCATCATATCGTACGATCAGTTCATCGGTTGGTCAGTCTGTCAGTAGGTATCTCAGTAGGTCTGTAAGTGAGACAGTTGATTGTTAGAGTGAACTTGGCCCTCATTGTATTCATTACAGATCTACCGTAAAAACTTAATACACAGCTGATCTTTCTGAATTACCTTCTAGGCTTTTCTGGTCAGATGGGTTGCTCTCCATTTCTTTATATTCAAGTAAGGTTGAAGTTAACAGAACGCGTCCGTATTGCTTATCAGACTGTACTGAAGACCACTGGCTTGTAACGTCAGCACTTGTTGAATTTTTGCCCGCTCTCTGATTCCCAGATGGGCCTTTATCAGACCTGCAACATACGAAATGTTTCATCAATTCGTAACTGACAGCGTCGAGGTGATCTCTTATAAACGTAATGAAGCAACACACATTAAGGCTGGTTTCCAATCGACGTGCGCTATACGATACTAGCCCGCGGTGCAGCCGGACATGTCCGCACAAAATTCTCGATAGAGTCTACACCGGCGGTGTAGACTGTTTCTGACGACGGCGATAGTTAATATAGAAACTATTCTTCAACGATCGTAGCGATTTCAAAGATATCGTTACCCTGTAATCGTTACCTCAGTTCTCTCGCAAAGACGGTTAAGTTCGTTGCGATCGATCGTTGCATTAAAAGTATACCAACTATAGTAAATATAGAAATGGATTCGTCTTAAACTTTCAATTCCAACTTTGCGACTTAAGCTTCACACCCTAATTTTAAAATTGATTAATCATAAAGATTCGTGCAAATGATTTTTGCGGTACGCGAGAATCTAAGTCCCCCTCAAAGCACCTTCTGTTTATCAATAACAACTTATTAACCGAGAGTGAGATCTTTACGAGAAAATCCAAACCGAGACAGTGCCGCATTGAACGAGTGATAACGACAATACGACAAGGCCGAGGGTTTATCATAAATTTCTCCCGCAAAGACCGAACGTTCGAGATTAATGATTTGTTTATTACATGGCTTTTTGCTCTGTCTATGCAGGCCCCTAATCGGCCCGTGGGCATTAGTGGCGAATAATACCCTAGAGCTAGCCAATCAGAGTGTGCGTTATCTCGGCTAAAAACACAAGCCATGTAATAAAAATATTTTCAGTGCTGCCCAGTATTATTGAGCAAAGTCTTTGGGTTTTGGCTCCGCTTAAGCTGCATGCACAGGTGTAGGTTAAAGTTACTAAATATCAGTATTTTGGACATACCCTTCGTGCCACCGGTAGGAATCTGATTCCTTATCCTGCCGACAGTATGGCATGGGCCGACTGCTGTTGNTAAATTTTGGACATACCCTTCATGCCACTGGTAGGAATCTGATTCCTTATACTCCCGACAGTCTGGCATAGGCCGACTGCTGCTGCTAACTGGTGGGTCTGGGAGGACTGCTGTTTCTAACATGAAATGAAATAAACGAAATGCAATGAAAAGCAATAAAATCAAATGAGACTAATTTTTGCTCCTTCCAATCGCCGTCCATACGTCAGCCAGTAAGCCAGTCAGTCAGTCAGTCAGTCAGTCAGTGAATCAGTCAATTAGACAGTCAGTCAGTCAGTCAGTCAGTGAATCAGTCAATTAGACAGTCAGTCAGTCAGTCAGTCTGTCAGTAATCTGTCAGTAGGTCTCTCAGTCAGACACTTAAATGTTAGAGTGAACTTGACCATTGTATTCGTTACAGATCTACTAAAAAAACAGAATATAGAGCTGATCGTTCTGAATTACCTTCTGCACTTATCTGGTCAAATGGCTCGGTCTCCATTTCTTTATATTCAAGTGAGATCGAAGGAAACTGAACGCGTACGTATTGCGGATCAGACGGTATTGAAGACCACTGGCTTGTAACGTCAGCACTTGTTGAATTTTTGCCCGCTTTAGGATTGCCAGATGGGTATTTATCAGACCTGCAACAGACAAAAATGTTTCATCAATTCGTAACTGACAGCGTCGAGGTGATCTCTTATACACGTAATGAAGCAATACACATCAAAGCTGGTTTCCACTGGACGCGCGCTGTACGATAGTAGCCTGCGATGCAGCTGGACGTGTCCGCACAAAATTCTCGATATAGTCTACACCGGCGGCGTAGAATGTTTCTGACGACGGTCATAGATAACTACACTTCAACGATGTTAGCGATTGTAGAGATCGTTACCACGTTATAGCTACATCAGTTCTATCGCAAAGACCGTAAAGTTCGTCGTGATCGATCGTTGCATTAAAAATATACCAATTATGGTAAATATGGAAATGGATAGGTCTTAAACTTTCCATTGCAACTTTGTGACTTAATCTTAACACCCTAATTTTAAAATTAATACATTATAAAGATTCGTGCAAATGATTTTTGCGGTACGCGAGAATCCAAGTCCCCCTCGAAGCACCTGCTTA